GGGGGGTGGGGGGGGGGGGGGGGGGGGCATGCAAGAAAGGGTGCGCGGGCACAGACACGAGTTTGGAAGACATCAAAACAAATTTACTAACATATATGTATTCTCAGACAATTTCATGGAGTTGAAGGGGGGAGGCTTGGGTGGGGACTATGCAAGAAAGGAACCGAAGGAACCGGTCGTGAGGTTCCAGGGCTCGAGATCAACCAACTGCAGGATGTGCGACGAAGACAGCGCGTGCTGCCCGTCCGCTCGCTGTCGGTACATACGCTACAGCACAACCAACAGCAGCAGGGCGCGGTATTAAAAGCAATCTCCTTGAAAAAAACGACAGATAGCGTCCGCACTCAAGAATCTCTACAACACTTCAGGCCCAGACTGATACAAGTATTCGTAGTTCCCGTTGTGGGCTACGAACGGCCGCCATATATACATACAGGTTTCAGCGAAGGGTTTCTTTCCTGGGCTCTCAAATTCGATAAAGAACCCCTACACTAAAACCTATATATAAAGCGTTGGGGGTTAACTGCCAACGTCTAAAGTGCGGGCTACTACAATACATAGCTGTACCTCGAATACACGGCTGATGAAAGACCGTCGTTGTCAGCGAGCTTCTTAAACTCCGCAAAGTCGTCCTCCTTCGCCAGGTCCGCGCACGCCGCCTGGAACTGAGCAGCCGTCAGGCCGTCGTCTTCCGCACCCCCCCCCCTGCCGCGCCCAGCGTGCCGCAAGCAGGCGTCCCGCACCACCTTCACGTGTGTCTCCACTGCCAACGCGTCTTTCACTATGTAGGGTACGGAGGTGGGAGAGGGGGGGGGGGGGGGGGGTCTTAACTGTTACTTAAATTACCCATTGGGGGGCTTCCCCCGGGGGGGGGGAAGGGGGGGCCCCCTTTTGTTGGCCTATTGGTGAAGTTTCTGTTTTTTGGGTATGTAACAACCAAGGCCGGTACCCCCCCGACATAGGGATGAAGACGGGTATGCTTTCTTGCACCACGAAAAATGGCTAAGGGGGGGGGGGC